GTGTGTCTGTGTGTGTGTGTGTGTGTGTGTGTGTGTGTGTGTGTGTGTGTGTGTGTGTGTGTGTGTGTGTGTGTGTGTGTGTGTGTGTGTGTGTGTGTGTGTGTGTGTGTGTGTGTGTGTGTGTGTGTGTGTGTGTGTGTGTGTGTGTGTGTGTGTGTGTGTGTGTGTGCTCTCATCCACTCACCAGTGGGGATGGAGTCCATGCCGACGCAGAACGTGTGGTATCCTCGGTCACATTTGTCGCAGAACATCATCTCGTCCTCATGGTGGGGCTGCTGGCACACGATGCAGGTCTTACACTCCATGCACTGCCAGCGGTACGTGTGGATCACACTCACCAGATCCTTGCTCATGTCCAGGCACGACGGGTGGCCTAAAGTTTACAGACACATACACAGAAACAAGCGTGCACACACAGAGCCAAACACACACAGAGATATAAACAAGAGGCATGTGCACCAACAAACATAAGAAGGCAAGTGGGACAGTGTAAATCATTTGAAGTGAATTTTACAAATTAATTAAAGCTTAACTGTCTAAAAGTAAACACTTCCAGCTTTTTAAACAAGACAATAAAGACACTTTCGACTAAATAATTGTAATCTTTTTTTTATGCACAATGCAATAAAGTTTTCCTTTCAATGATGCATTACTCAATGAGGGCTATCTTGCTTCAAGGTTGTATATACAAATAACCAAAAAGAAATGTAAAAGTAAGTGAACTGTCTTTTGAAATGAGCAGTGTGAACTTACCGCTGTTATCGCATTGGGAGCAGTGAATGAGAGCCTCTGGCCGGCCCCTCTTGTTGGCCTCTTTACCCTTCTGGCAAATGCCACATATAGCATTGGGAATGACCTTAGGCTGCAAGGGTAGAATAACGCTATAAAAACAATGTTTATCCTGTAGTCATTGACAATGTAGTATTTCAAATGATGTTTAATGCCAAAGAAAAAGACAAAAACAGCATATTTATCTTGACTAACATGAGAAACATGGCTCTCTGGTACAAATGTGCTCTTGTATGCTCTTGGCATCTGAGATCTACAACAGATCCAAGTGTTTGTTTATTTGATAGCAGATTCCCGCCTCGGCCGCCACTGCGTCAGGCCGTTGTGTCCTTGGGCAAGACACTTCACCCACATTTGCTCCTGTGGGTAATGTCCACAGTAATTACTCTTACATGTCTAATATGTGTAATGTGTAATTGTAAAGCGCTTTGAGCACCTGTAAAAGCGCTCTAATAAAAAATGTAATGCATTATTATTATTATTATTAGATTGGTTTAGAGATCTATCAAGCGCCTCTACAAGAAGCCACAATAAAAACATGGAAGATGGCATTATATCTGGACTGCCACTGGCCTAGCTAAAAGGGTTATTGGCATTGTAACCCGCCAGCAGGCTGCAGCGGTCTCTTTAACTACTGGACCAATTAAAAAACATGTTTATCTCTATTGTTCACTTAGAAAGATAATGTGGGAAAACAGCGGGGAAATAAACGACATTAACTTCTTCATTCAAATGTCCCCTGACAGGAAATGAGCGGGGAGTAAACAGCCATGTAAAGGCATAAAACGTTTGATCAATAAAGATAATTCATTTTTAAGACAAAAAACAGAGCGAAGGATTAATCTAAGACAGACAGCAGCAAGAAAAGAGAGGTAAGAAGAAGGTAGAGCTGGACAAGGCACCTTATCTACATTCTCAGTCTGCATAGATACACACTTTTAAAGTCAACTACCTACTTTTGACCTTGCTGCATAAGTACATGGTTAGTGAAAAGAAAACCCCTTTTGCTATCGCTCTTCACAATTGTAAAATGTGTGGCCACATGCAATGCTTACATTACAAGACAAATGTCACATGGCCTTTATAGTACTAAACATCTCTTCAGTGGAAACAACCTCACGTAAAAATAAACCATGATCACTTCACAAGGTTGGTTGCTGTTTTATTCTAAATGTACTGAATTAGGATCAACACAAGAAATGCTGTATTGTTTGCACATAAAAGAAAGAAACTCAAAGAACTCACTTTCAGGCATGTTTGCTTTTATATAATCTGGTATACTGTGGAGTCATATAGCTATAAAAACATTACGTATAATTCAGACACAGAGGCATTCATACTGAGACACAACACCTTGGGAACTGTCCATCTGACCACAGAGACATTAGACAATCTATTTCAAACATTGTTGTTACTGTAGATGGTCGCTAGGCCACCGAGGGTAACATTTATCAGCTAGCTGCCCGCTACACTGACTTTCTCGCTTTTAAATAAGAAGTATAAGAAATAAGTAAACCTTTGACCTAATTCTGAAAAGGGGGAAATAGATGAACAATCTACCACTGAAAAGGGCACTGGTGCATTTGAACTTTTCAGGCATATAACTTTGGCAGATTTACCAGAGCTACAAAACCATGAATAATACTTGACTTCTATATACGACGTATCTTTAGATATAGAAATGTCTGAAAGCTATCACATCTCTAGGTCTGTTTGTACGCATCACAAATTGATAGAGTACATTATGTCACTGGTCTGATCTAATAAACTCTTAATACCAACATGCCATGCCATGTTTTAGGAACCAAAAGCACACAGAAAATGATCTGATGAGGTCAGTCAAAGTGAATCAAACTTAAACACACTGACGCTTTTAAATAGACACTAGAAAAGGACCATGGCCACACCACAAAGCTGAGCTGACTACACTAGCATTAAGGGTAACATACCAGCATGTTTTAAGTGTTGGAAATGGAAAGAAATGGGCACGCTGACATTATACTATTTTCCCATAAATAAAAGCATTTTTCCAAATAAAAATCAAAGCGATGCCATGACTGGTTTAAAGAAAGGGAAGCTGGTGTGGGAGAAACCAACGACTTGTAGCTCAGCTCAGCAACAGTGTGAACAAGGTCAGCACGTCCCCATCTCTCCAAGAGGACATGATAAAGGACAGGTAAACCTCATGTCAAACAACTCTCCATACCTATTAACAGTACATCACATGGAGTATAAACAAAGCATATTACCAATAAACACTTAAAACATTAGGGTTAAGTGCAATCTACACTTCAGATATAAATGTCAAAATCTTCTAGTGTTAACATCAACTACTTTTTTTTTTTTTAAAAGCAACCACAAATTCTATGTGGTTCATATTTGATATATCAGAATAACAAAAAGTATTTTCTCCATCTACTTACTTGTCTAGGAAGTATCTTTTTTGACAAGTGAGGACAGACCAGAGGTATATTGAAGACATTCAAAAGGAACAACTTTTAAAGTTCAAATTTGTCTTTGCTGAAAAACTCAAAAAGTGAAAGTGCATTGAAAAAGAAACAAGTGAACTGTTCCTTTAAAATGTTCTTATTGCTCACAGTCTGGTATCGAGAAAAAAAAAGTCACGTGGCAACCATTAAAACAAAAACTGAAGACAGGACCCCCAGTGTGTATGTGTTTTTGTGAGTGTGAGTGTGAGTGTGAGTGTGAGTGTGAGTGTGAGTGTGAGTGTGAGTGTGTGTGTGTGTGTGTGTGTGTGTGTGTGTGTGTGTGTGTGTGTGTGTGTGTGTGTGTGTGTGTCAGGTTTTCCCAGCTGAATAGCTGACCAACCGTAGAAGCCGGAGAACAAAGTGAAGAAAGCTAGGTAGAGGTGGCGGGATGGATGGAGTAAGGGAGTGGTAGTAGTAGAAAGAGGAGAGGGGGGGGGGTAGAAAAGTGCTGCTGCTGTTGTTGGAGAAGAGTTCAGGTGCTTTTGTCCTCTACCTTGTACCCTGGGGTGGCTTTGTGGGAGGTAGAATGACGCTGGCTGCCATCTTTGCCCGGAGTGGACGTCCTGTCTTTGGCCTTGGACTTGCTGCCCGGTTTACCTCCGGCGTCCTGGCTCTCCATGTCTGACGCGTTGCCTGAAGAACTGTCCTGTAGCAAAACAGACGAGGGCGAAAGAGTGGAAGACAAGTTGGTTTAAATGATTCTGATCAAAAACCAATCATTAGTTTACTTTCATAGTTGAATGATAAACTTTTATCTTCACCCGTGTACCTCACTTGATATAAGTTGTTCCAATGGCAAAAACATCTTTGTCTTAAGTCTTCCATACTATTAATTCATGTGATTTTTCACTTAATCATAACTAACAAATATTCATTTTCTTAATTTTAACCCTTTAGATGGCCAGTTTGTATTACATAGTGCCACTGATTTTTATCATCAATTTGCTCTATACGACCAACATAACAATCTCGTGGAAATAGTATAATCTCTTAAATGCTCAATTCAATAGAATGTATGAGTTTATGATTTCAATGTGTGGTTTTGAATAAAGGTTAAGGCTAAGCATCTCTACCACTAATCCAGGATGGGCATGTGATGTGTTGTACACCCTCATGTCTTACAGATAAGTTCTTTTTCTTTTTGTCCTTGCCATCCTCTGCATCGTCTGAGTCTGGTTCTGAGTCCAGAGCAGGGAGCTCTGGGTCCAGTGGAGGCTCAAACAGAGCTGTGTTCATCGGCAGGTATCGCAGCTCATTGGGAGAGTACCTGTGGTGGAAAACACAATGATGCATCATAGAATAGAATGGGAGGGATGAAACCCTCTTTAATGGTCACACATGCAGAGCACACAGCACACAGTGAAATGTGTCCTCTGCATTTAACCCATCCTAGTACCAGGAGTCTAGTACTAGGAGCAGTGGGCAGCTATTGTACAGCGCCCGGGGCGCAATGGGAGTGAGGGGGGAAGGGGGGTGTCCGGTGCCTTGCTCAAGGGCACCACGGCAGGGCAGGAGGTGAACTGGGACCTCTCCAAGTAGCAGTCCACACTCCATTTTTTAGGTCTGGTTGGGGACTTGAACCTGCGACCCTACAGCTCCCAGTCCAAGCCCCTACTGACTGAGCCAACATTAACAACAGCAATAAATAACAGGCTGACAACCTAACTAGAACATAGTTCCACTTAGGAAGGTAACATGTGGGTTATCTTGAATACAAAAGAGGTCAATTATAAAGCATCAAGTGTGTACCTTTTGTAGTATTCTTGGAACTGTCCTGGTATGAGAGCCACGGGATAAGGCCCCGCCTTGGTCATTTCTGGAGCCAGCACCTTGAACCTTCCCTGGGGCACCTGGATGATCTGTGAAAACCCACACAAAAAAACTATGTATGTAAAAAATGACACAAAACTATTTTCTAATACCCTCTACAAAAACACTTCAAAAAAGATGATCTAGCATTTGAAATAACAGATGATAATTGGCAATCCATCCTTCAAAGAGTTCACTCTTCCTCAATTTGTGCCAGACATGGCCTTCTCCAATTTCAAGGTATTACACCGCCTTCATTTATCAAAGGAAAAACTAGCAAAGATGTATCCAGGGGTAGATCCCTTATGCAACACATGTAAGTCAGTAACAGGATCCCTCATCCATACTTTCTGGACATGTCCAAATCTTCATAATTATTGGACATCTATATTTGATACGTTTTCTAAGATCTTTAAAGTCAAATGTAACCCTTCTCCTCTTACTGCAATTTTTGGAGTGGTCCCGGACGACATTGTCCTTTCCAGACATTATTCAAACGCTGTTGCTTCCCTAATTGCGAGGCGACTTATACTTGCGTCTCCCACTCATGTCCACTGGGTGACAGAACTTATGATGTTTCTACACATGGAGAAAATAAAGTGTACTTTGGGTTTAGGTCGGGCAATATGAACGATATATACGGGGTCGTCGAGACGTAGGGGAGGGTATCCCACGATAGCCTTTCAGGAGATACCACATTCTACCGTCCGTTCCCCCTAGACAAGGTGCCCCGCAGGGTAGGATTTTCAATAGCCCCGAAAATAATTGTACCGTCCTACGGCCTGCGTGCCCCTGATACTGTTAAATATCTGCGAAGTTGCTTTAAAAGCCGTCCAGAACACGTGTTTTCTGAACTGGCGTTATCGTGGGCGTTCACAACAGACGCGATGGCGAATATTCTCAGCCCTAACCGCGGAGTTATCACCGCGGCTGTCAGGCTGTGTTACCCTGCATTCAAACAGGACAACGCCCTGGAGAGGGGGCGGGGCTTATATGCCATTTAAATACTGTGGTGGGAAACAACTCGCACAAAAATTAAGCCTATTTACCGTGATTTAATTGTATAGGCAACGTTTCAAATAATGGCCGAAGTAACTAAATAGCTGATAACGGTTATAAAAACGCAAGCTGTCTACTCGGATCGAGAGTATTGCACTTCATATATTTGTCTTAGGTTGATTCCGTTGGTTTATATTTATTTTATCAATAGGTATTTATATTGTTTTTCCCTTTTGAAAGCAGATGTTGCAGTTATGGTTAAAGTCTTTGATTGCACTTCAAGTCTAAAGTTTACATTCTCAATTGTTTGGTGCACTGGACTCTTCCTCATTGATGTTTTAGTTTTACTTAGTTATGTTTTAGCTCTCGGCTTTTCATGTTTATGGATGTTACATCACGCTGCTAGTGCTACTTAAAAGCAGAAAGTGAATTTTATAGCTGAGAAACTGTTGCTTCAACTATTATTTTATTTAGGCAATGAAGTGGCAGCTTTACTTGGTGAAGAAACCAGTGTTGAAGTTTGTTGTGTAGGGGGTGTAGGATCCTACCTACTTGAACACTGAGGAAGCATTTCTAAATTCCTGTTGAATTTGTTCATTCCAGGGATTCATTGCAGAATTATACAACAGGCTTGAAATGTTATTTTGGTCTGTTAGCCCTTTTTTTTTTTTTGTTGTTAGCTTGAAGGTGGTTGTAGCTGTTAAGTAGTGAAAAATAACCATTAAACGAAATGAAAAAATATCGTGATAACATATCGTCTATCGTCGATACTCGCTCTGCCAAAATATCGCTGCGTACTCTGCTCGCCACCTCAGTTTTTGGCCAATATCGTTCCCACCCTCCTACCTTTCGGGTGGCTGCCACTCCTGTAACATTCTACACACCACGGCAACCATCTGCCTTTACATACATGGAAGTTTGAAACACCTGCCTACTCGCTACCCTAACTGATTTATACTTTAAAAACAAAACTGATTAGAACA